TATCCCTATACAACCCCTGAACCCTAAGCCATAACCCCCTAAGCCCTGTAAGCCCTAGATCCCAAGCACAATGGCAGCCAAGAGAATGGCCAGGAGCAGGTTCCTGGGCAACCCATGAATACTGTTAGGCTTTAGGCTTTAGGGCCTTAGGGTTTAAGGTTTAGGGTTTCGGATTTAAGGCTTTAGGGCTCCAGAGTGTAAGGGTTTTTTGGGTTAAGGTTTGGGGCTTTAGGGCTTACGGCTTAAGGTAATCCTGCACCGCCCTAAGCCCTTTAGGCGCTAGGAATCACAACCCTAAACCCTAAACACGTAAGGGCCCTAGATGATGCAAGATCTCCTCCATCGACGGTATGCGGGGCTTGGGGTGTAGGGTTCAAGGTGAAGGATGTAGGGTTTAGGGCTTAAGGTTTAGGGAGTTTAGGGTTTAGGGGTTAGGCTCCAATCTTAGGGTTTCAGGGTGTAGGACGGCAGGGTTTCGGGTTTAGGGTTTCTACGTTACCCTCGCCCAAACTGCCATGGGTCCAGTTTTGGTTTGGGCTTTAGGGATTCAAGGTTTAGGTATGAGGGCTTAGGGCCTAGGGCTTTGAGTTTAGGGCTTAGGGTTTAGGGAATTGAGTTTTGGGGGTTTAAGGCTGGGCCCTCGCCCAAGCCAACATGGCACCTGAACAAGGGTCCTCGTTGACTTTTTCGCTATCTGCCAGCCATTGTCTAAACTCCTAGTGTCCCCCTCAATAACAACAAAAGTAGTAGTCTCCTATATACTTTCCTATATACCGCCCTTTAAGGAATTTAGACTACAGCTTATCTGGAACTTCATGTTAGCTCGGGGAGGATAAGGTAAAGGAGGCATATGTTTCTCGAGTCTCGGGTTTAGAGTCTGCTTGCCCCTTGGGGTTTGGGATGGTATGTGGCAAATGATACAAGGATGTCCTTGAGAAGCTGGCATATCCTCTGCGGTATGGAGTTTCAACTTACATATGAGCTACAGTCAATATTTCCTACCCAATTTAATGGACATGGGTTCCTTATTAGGGACTATATTAGGGACTATACTAAACTACAAGAGGACCTTAATGTCCACTGTTAGGGGCCCCTTAATAAGGCTAATATTGACAGTAGCTCACATAAGAAATAGCAAGGTCAGTGCCGCAAACCAACTGCAACAGAACAAGGAGGGTTTAGGGTTTAGGGTTCAGGGTTTAGGGTTGAGGCTTTAGGGTTCAGGGTTTAGGGTATGGGGTTTAGGGTATAGGGTACAGGGTTTAGGGTCCAGGGTTTAGGTTTCAGGGTTTAGGCTTTAGGGTTCAGGGTTTCGGGTATAGGGTTTAGGGTATATATAGGGTTTAGGGTCCAGGGTTTAGGGTTCAGGGTTTAGGCTTTAGGGTTCAGGGTTTAGGGTTCAGGGTTTAGGCTTTCGGGTTCAGGCTTTAGGGTTCAGGGTTTAGCGTCTAGGGTTCAGGGTTCAGGGTTTAGGGTTCAGGGCCTAGGGTCTATCAGCGTCCAGGCCACAATTTACTTTTGAGGGCTTATGGGGAAGTAGCATGTCTCCGCGAAAGCTCAGCTGATCGGAATCCTGCAAGATCATGGGCCCTAAGCACAAGCTCAAACCCTAAACCCTCCAAGACATGGGAGTTTCTTACGCGGTTTAGGGTCTAGGGTTTACCCTAAACCCTAAACATCCCTAAACTACACCTGCAAACTGCTTAGTAGGAACTCCTTTAACCTCTTGTTAGTCCCAACTATACTTGGTCTCCTGAGGGTATGACAACCCCTCCAAAATCTAGGGTCTAGGGAGTACGGATTTGGGATTAGGGTCTAGGGTTTGGGGCTTAGGGTTTAGGGCTTAGCAACAAAGGCAAGCAACCTTGGTGCCAATCTCTCTGCGTATGCGTAGGTCATCCTCTTGGCGTGAGCAAGTTGCGTTCTCGATGGAACCCGTGTATCCTGCCATGAAACGGCTCAGCTGGTTTAAGGTCTGGGTTTTTGAGTATAAGCCATAGAAGAGTTTAGAGGGGTTACATAGGGGTAATACCGTTTTTCGAGGGTTCATGGTCTGAGCTTCATGGTGCTGGGTTTAAGGTATTTGCTACAAGGAGGGACTGCATCGAGTACTCTTCCTTATAAGCGGGGCCTATGTGGGGCTGCATCTTAGGCCTGTGGGAGTAGGTAGCTTTTTGGGGGTCCGGTCAGGAGAGCCAAAGCTACATGGCAACCAGAAAAGCAAAGCATGGGACGATGAGCAGGGCTATACGGCTTAGGCGCATTATGGCATCTTTGCAGCAGTGGTGGACGTTTAGAAAAATGATTGAAAGAAAAACAACACAATCCCAACCGCACATGTACATCATCGAGGTCCCAGCACGCCCCTGATGTCTAAACCCCAAGCAGTAAACCTTGAACCCCTAAACCCTGGCCCGCCAATCCCTGACCCTCTAATAGCCCAACATCCTACCCCTCAAATATGACCCATAAAGTACAAGGCACTTAGGACCCCTACTAAGGGTTAACCCTGAATGACCTATAATAAGAATATAAGGGAATCCCAAAGGGTTAAGGGTTTAAGGTCCAAGCTAAGTCCCAAGGAGTAAAGCCAAACGCCCATAAACTATCAACCCTGAGCCTCTAAATCTCCAAATCCTACTCCCTATCATCTCTATACCCTACACCCCTAAACCGTGAACCCTAAACCCTACCTGGTAAACCCAAAGCCTTGGAAAAAAAGTCATTCCACCGAAAATTGGATTTTCGGCTGAGGGGGCGGAAATCATTGAAATGACGTTTTTTCACTACTTTGGGCAGATCGACAGAGATAGAAGATTGCGTTTTTAGTTGCAGTCCACAATTCAGTGATTACGTTTTTTCTTGTTTAAGATTCCTTTTTTGGATTTCAGAAGTGCCTTTTTTGTGGAGGCTCTCTTGTCCCATATATATGTACCACACAAGATGTGGGCCTCGCCGAATCTTGACAAGGTGTAAGGTGTACACGAGTATACACATATTCCTTGTAACAAAGTAGGACATCGGTATATGGCCTTGGAAGGGGTTCATCTCAGCTTCATTCCTTACAAGCAGCGTTTCTCGGGATCTCAGCCCATACTGGCTCTTTGCGGACTACAAGAACTGGCTCACTTTGGTCATGCGTCCATGAGGGCTCTTTGGGGCTCTTATCAAGGAATTTTGATTGCAACATATTTGTGTGGCTGTCTATATAGAGACCCCCGTACTTTGGAAACCCTCATCTCCAATAAGGACAGCCGATTCAGTGCGCAGGGAATCTTGCACCTCAATCTGTAGCCCCCCGATGAGCTATAATTACAAGAATGGGTTGCCATATAGAGCGGGTTTATATTCAGGCCCCATGACACTAACCTACCTACTATCTGCAGCTTTGCATACATGATTGTAATTCCCACTCTACAAGTTAGATGGTTATACTGGTCCCCAGAACGTTGCACTATAGGTCAGGCCTGCGAAGAAGCCACGGATACAAAGAGTGCATAGCATTGCTTTTGCTTCGCTACTATACAAGTTAGATGGTTATACTGGTCCCCAGAAAGTTGCACTATAGGTCAGGCCTGCGAAGAAGCCACGGATACAATAAGAGTGCATAGCATTGCTTTGCTTCGCTATGGATCTTCTTGAATTTTGAACTGCGGAAAGGTCCGCCCTCCCCCTGATCTGCCAGCTTATTGCATTGCTTGCACATGTCTTGGGAAAGGTCTGCACACTATATAGCAGAGGAAGTCTACCAAGGCACTATATATGGCAGCATTGCTCTCATGA